CGGGAGAGAAAGAAAGATTTATTAAACGGGGGGGGAGGGGGGAGGGAGGGGAGGGATCTAAGGTGGAAGGAGCTGTATATATAACATAAGCAAGCGAAGAGGGGTTGGGGGGAGGTTCTGAGACGATGATTCGGGGAAAGGAGGGGGAAGAACAATTGCAAATAGCCCCGAGGCGTGGTAAACGGGGGTAGTACTCGTAGCTGGCTGGTAAGTTTCTTCTGGTAAGTTGGTAGCGTTGCATATTGTTTCCTGTTCAACAGTTTTGCAGCCTCTGGCTTTTCCAGGTTTTTCCCTCCCTTCTCTTTCCTTTTTTCCCCCTCTCTACTTTTCTTCTTCCTCTTTTCCTCTTATCCTCTTTTTTTTTTTTTTTTTTCATTACGACCACACGACTCCTCGTACGATTATATATACACGGTGTGTGCGTGTGTGGATATTACTTACAGATATTATACGGTAGAAGGTTTTATCCGCACTTCATTTACAGGGACAGGTTAATGCAATGGGACTTTGAAATATACGAACTCATAGCTGAACTATTGAACTGTTGCACGCTTTATCATCTGAACTATATTGGTTGGGTATATGATTTTTCAGTTGTGTTAACGTTTATAAAAATATGGAATAGTCTTTCGAAGAATCGCAACGAAAGGAATATAAAAGTTAAGATGTACGAAGATTGGATATTATTTTTCATGTTTTAGATATAAATTTAATAAGTATGTATATATATATATATATATATATATATATATTATTTTAATTTTTATTCTAGATGAATGTGAAAACAATCTCTCGATTGAAATGATTATTGAAGCTTGGAAATGGAATGTAATAATATATATTAAGATATGCAAGTACGTCGATATAAAAGAAATATTTTAATATTTAATAATCAATGCCGAGTTCATTCATAAACAACAGTGTAATGTAGAATTACCGGTTATACATATGTATGTATGTACCTGTCAGGGAACAAGAAAGTTAATACAAATAAATTGTTCATTCTTCTTGGGCAAGAGCCCGGTTAATTTTTCCCTCTAGCTATGATACATAAATTAAATTTCAGATTACGTTTGTATAATGGAACGCTACAGTAAAATTTCATTCATACAATTCTCTACGTCATGAATATTATTCAAAGTTTGCATTCATGAAACTTTATCGTTATCGACTGACTCGAGTAACTGTTTCCCCCCAACATTCGATACCCTTTTTTAATCGCGTTACGATTAATAAATATAGAATAATCTTCAATAAAAGAAATATAATAATAGTAATAATTGCATGCAACTTTCGTTTAAAATATTTTTCATTGTGTACGTTTAACAATTTACAAACAACTCAGATTTCTGTATCGGTGTGAATATAAGTTTGCACACCACTCTCGAATAGAATGGATATTTCTCGCGTGTAAGGAAGAATCATAATATCAAAGAAGTTGTGAGTACAGCATTCGTACAACGTAGTTACGCATAATATAACACCTTTGCAAATATCATCCTAGATTACCCACGATTTCTCGTTTTGCTTCGAAACACGTCCAAGCCTTCTCTCTCTCCGCCATTTTAATACTACGCGAGTGAAAGGAGATTTTTTTTTTTTTAGAATGTTTCACGTTTCATTCTTCTTCTTTGAAGAAAGAAAATTTGATATGCTGCCTCGATTCTCTATCTATTCGATCTTCGTATTTTTATTTGTTTCTCTACGATCAAACGTTTAGGTTATCCCTTAATAAGCAAGAAATTCGTAAAGGAAAGACTATCGATTTTTAATTAACCCGATTAATTCTCGTTTTGGAAAAGATTATACAAATAATGGAGCTCGATAATTTCAGGAAATGATTAGCAGCATCCGGTGCCATGCTCCGAATCGAAGCATGGAGGCTCGTATTTCAAGCATTTAGTACGACTGACCACCATCCTTCAGAGAGTTATCGCGTTAATCCTCGAGTAATATTTTACTGGAAAATCTCGGTGATATTTTCCGTGGCAGTAACGTAGAGGATGACAAATGGCGTTAACTGCCAGCACGGTTAATTGTCGGCTTTATAGTGTACCATGGTTATTACATGCACGTTGTAATTTCTACGCTTACTACGTCGTGGAAAGTGGCTATGACGAAGAAAATTTTTTCCCATTGTTGTATCTTCATCTTTGCCAATATCAAATATATTCTTGTTCTAATGTGTAACATGATTGTCGACATATTTAGTTCTTTTAATTATTTTATATGTTTACGATGTGTAAATTTGTACATCATGTACATTATGTAGATATTTAATTTTTGAAATTTAATATCGAGCCAAAATGTTTGCGAATTTATTCTTCCAATTATTCAGTATCGAATGTTTAATTGATATCGTGGAAAATTATTTTCAATTAAAAATGAAAAATGAGAAGTTAATAAAAGCGTTTATATTATGTAACGAAATTATATAAGAAGAAGAGGATAATAATTTTTTCTTTCCTTTTTTTTTTTCAAGAATTTTTTCAAAAATTATCTTAAAATAAAATTTTAACAATCGCTCTTATATCAAATGTCCCGTGATTTCGAAAATAATTTTGATATTTCAATAAAGAGAAAATAAATATGTTATGATATTTCGTGAAGAAGTTTCAAGAAGAATCACTGATTACATTTCTTTTTTTAGTTCAAATTTTGAAATAGTCGAATATTTCGTAAGTGGAGATCCACCAGCTCGCCGTTTAATTCGCGGTTTCATTTTCTCCGATTTCCCACTTTTTTTCATTTTTCCTCTGGAACACTTCCCTTTCTGCTCGTTTTAATCGTACTCTTCCTTCGGTCTGATATTCTGAATATTTCTTTCTCTAACCCCAGGCTAAATGTTCTATCTTTCGCGTCCAAAATCAAAAGTGCCTTTTTCTCGTTCTATTTTGCGAATACTTTATATGATTTTTCTCTCTCTCTTTCTCTCTCTCTCTCTCTCTATCTACCTTTACCTACTTCATATGAAATACAAAAGAAAGAGAAAAAGAGAAAGTGAAAAGAAAAAATTAAAGTGAATAAATCAAGAAAATATATTGTTTATATTATACATAACATGGTATACATTATTTGTATTTTTTATAAGTATTAAATATCATATTTTAATTAAATTCCTTGTTTGCAGATAAAAAAATATAAAAGAATTGTAGAACTGATTATTATTTCTTCTACTATCTAATTATTGAAAGAACGTATATTACGTTAATTTTTATCCGTTACAATTTTGTATCGGAGAATATAATTGGAGAAATAGTGACACGTAAAATTTTTCTTTAAATATAATTATATAAACACGAATTTTTTGATTTTGTGATTGGAAGAATATTTTATATATAATATGTAATTTGAAAGAAAATGGTATGTAAAAATTTGCCAAAAATTGATGTATTTAATTATTTTTTTATATCTCTTAGATACTTATCTTTTCATCACAAAAATTAAACTCGTTTTTCGAATCTAATTACAAGATTTGGTATATTAATTATTTGATACTTATTTAAAGAAAATATATAAAATATAAACAACAAAATAAAAATTTATGAATATATATTAATATATATAACATATGAAAATATATTTATTTATAAAATTACTTATATATTTAATATATAAAATTTAATAATCATATATATGATCTATAATAATAAAAAAATAAATATAGAATTTGATATGATATACAGAAATATAAAATAAATACATTTTACTTGTATATTAGACAAATGAAGTAAGCATTTAGTGTCAATGGCGTTATCTTACGGATGAACATGAAAGCTCTGATTTGAATAGAAACACACATGCAAAACTTCATATCATAGACAGAGAGTAGGAAAGAAAAGATATACTATTTACTTGCAACTCCTAATACATACTTCTTATTATATTGGAAATATAATATTAAAATTTAGTTAATTATTAATTATTAAAAAATTTTATACTTTTAAACTCGTATGTCAAAGTTAGAATCTCAAACAATTTATATTACAATATATTTTATATATAATCTTTTCAATTCATTATTAATTAATGATTAATACGTCACGTACAGACTAATACAATCGATATGCAATATGTTTTTCAATAATTTTACATTATTATGAAATTATTTATATTATTATATTATAATATTAAAATAATATCTTAAATAATAATTATTATATTAAAATTATATTAAATTATATTAATTTTATAGTATTATAATATTTTTATTTTATTATATTCATCTATAATTTTTATTATAATTTTGTTTTATTATGAATAAATTGATTGATTATTACTTGATTTGTGATTAAAATACTCTCTATGATAATCATTAATGAATAATTAATCAAAAAGATTTCTTATTAAAATTTATAAAAGAAAATTATTTTAAATTCTAGTTTTAGAATTCTTTAATACTAATATAATAATTAATTAATTTTCAATATTGCTTTTCCAATATAATGAAAAATTAGCTGCATAATCAAAGTTAATGATATATCCTTCAATATTACTTTTTTTATTTATAACGTTAATATCTCTTTGAATGTTTTATGTTCTTATTAACAAGTTAAATTTCGCCAATGTATATATATAAAAAAAAAAAAATAGAGTTTAATATAGCAATTTCACATTTAAAAATATTTGTTTCAGTAAATGAATCTATTTACAAATGTTTCAAAATAAAAAATTCAAAAAAAGAAATGCAGAAATTTAAGAAAGCTTAATTTAAATTTAGTTTAGTAAATTAAATTTTATAAATTTTATTAAATTAAAAAAGAAAATTTCTTGAAAATTAAAATAAAAAATATATACGTACATACATATCACATAATGCAAAAATATATAAAAGACAACATATAAAAATACAAAAATAAATATATATATATATATATATTGTATATATAACACATTAGTAATAAAAATATATAAAATAAAATTCGTTTGATTTTTATTATTACACATATATTTAGATATACCTTAGATAAACTTTTAAAAAATATATTAAATATATAAATATACTAAGATTTTTTAATTATATATGGAAATTACATCGTTATTGCTATTTATGGATAAAGATGCTGCCACCTGTCATCAATGGCATGAACAGTGTGTTTACATATAGAAAGTAATATGAGTGAAAAGAAAAGACAACGGTGAAACGACATTTTGAGAACGATCTTTTCATGATTCAAAAATATCAAAAAAAATCAAATGGCATTCTACGATAACGAACATTGGCTTTTATCACATATCAGGGATAGTTTTTTATCAACCGACAACACAGGTATATAGTAAATTCTATTTAGGTTAAACATTAAAGATTCTTTAATGTATTGTTAATAATCTTCAAAATTATAAATTTTGACAAAATTTGCTCTTATGATATTCTTAAAGGCCAATGCGAAATGGTGATGCTTGGAGAAGATATTCCTAAACAATTAAAATCGAATGGTATGTTACAATGTTATCCTGGCATGGAAGAAAGCGATGATGAAGATCTAGATGCTCTTGCAGAATCTTATGATATACAAATGGGTATATCTTTTTTTAAAAATAAAAAATATTTTTTTTTCATGAAAATAAAAATATTTCATTTTATTATTATATAGAAATAAATATCAAAAAATCATTTAAATTTGGAATAAATATCTATGCTTTAGATATATGATTTTAATATTGATATAGATATGGAATACAGTCATAGAGAACGTACAAACACTGCTCAAAGATTAGAGAAAATGGATCTTGAAAGAGAAAAGGCTGCTAAGATCAGTGTAAAGTGGAAAAATGATTCTGTTGTACCAGTCACTCAACAATCAGAATTGTTTCAAAGAAAAGATTTTCGTAAAAAGACTGGTCAAACTAAAAGATATTCTCTTTTATCTGAACAACTTGAAAAATGTCCAAATGTGCCACAAAATCCATTTATAGAATACGCTAAATTTGATGGTAGTGTATGTATCTATGAGTTCTATAAATTTTAATGAAATTGCTAATTGTCATTATCATATCATTAATGTAAATTTTATTATAGGCACAAGTAGATATTCCTATAAGAAAATATAGGATATTTATGTGTATGTTACCTAAAAAACAAAGAACATATCCTCTCCATATGATTGTACTTGCTACAGCAAAAGTATTAGAATTCATTGGATTAATCTGTTATAAATATGCAAATGAACATCCAGATCATCCTTTAAAGTGTGAATTCCATATGAATGTAGTATATATTTAATCAACCTATAATTAATATAGAATATATTGATATTTTAATATTTTCAGAGATGATATTACAAGATATGGCTTATATTTTACTGAAGATGATGGAGAAGTTGATTGGGATTTACCCTGTTTAGATCCCAAAGAAACAATATCTAAATTTGAATTTACAACATTAGGTCTCGCAGAAATGAAACCAAGTGATAGAGCGCGACACAATATGTTTAGTTGGGTAGAATTAAGAAGCGAAGAAGATTTTCTAGAAGGTCAAAATGAAGAACAAGAAGTTGCTGAAGATTTGGCAAAAATGGAAGGACATACCACTGCTATGGAAGCTCCATTGTATCAATCATACAGGTAATTTTTGTTTATTAAATTCATTAAATAATTAATAATTACTAATATATATTTTGTACAGAGTATACATAATTAACAAAGTCAGAACAAAGAGTGAAATATATCTAGGAATATCAGGTGAAAAGATTGAAATTAATCCAATAATAACTGGAAAAGGTGCAGGTCGTTTTTGGAATAGACAAAGAGCTGTTAGTTATCAAATAGATAATATTGCTTGGTGTGAAATAACAGAAACAAAAGGATCAAAAACAACTTTTACATTAGTTTATACACCACGCTCTTCTACTTCTGACATTTTAGGTTTGCTCATTTCATCTATGCAAATATATATAATAGAACTTGATTAATAATTTCAAAAATATTTTCTTTTTTTACAGTATCATCTGGACAAATGCAATCTTTACATCAATCTGCATCATTTAAAAATCATGAATTTGAAGCTGATTCAATGACCGCTGAAGAAATTGTTAGAAAAATAAATCATATACTGGAATTGCATAATAGTACATCAAGAAAAGAATATTTATCTCAAAAAGAAAGAAAAGCAACAAGACGAAAAAGTTTTCATTTGCATAGATGACAGCTCTATTGGTTTCTGTATTCTATTTTAAGTTATTTAAAACATTAATTGTGTCAATATGATAAGAATTGAAACAAATGTTTGTTTCAATACAAATATAATTCTATTGTCATTTTTCTATTGCATGAATCATAAATTTCCTAATACCAAAGAAAAATATTTGTTCTTTGAGTACTTATTTGAGTAAATATTTGAGTAAATATTTATTTCATTAAAATTTTTTTTATTTGTTCTTTTATTTATTTTTACTTATAATATAAATATATTTATATGTAAAATATGAATTGATTTTGTACAAAAACCAAACATTTGTTTATTTCAATTATGTATAATTATATTTATTTTAATAATATAAAAAAATTGTACATTTATATAACACATTATATAATTAATCTTGTTTTAAAGATTATTTTTAATGTATAGCAATCTTCATAATATCATGATTCTGATATTTTGATTATTTTATCAGTAATCTTACATAGTCTTCTTTCCATTTGTAAAATGAATCTTTGATTTAATTTATAAGTTAAATTATATAACATTGATAATTTCACAAGCATGTCTGATAGTTTTTCATAATTTTTGCAAATATATTGATAACTTGGTCGTGCTGTAACAAAGGTTTTTTCATATTCTGATAAAACATTCAAATCTAAAAGTTGTTCTTGATTTTCTAAACATAATTTTTGTTTTGTAAGATTTTTTCGTTGTGTTTTTCTTTGTTTCAAAGTTTCTATCCATTCTTTTCTTTCATTTTTTAAATTAATTATATATTCTTCTAAATTAAAAACTTTTTCTTGTGTTGTATTAGATACACATTTTATAACTTCTCTATTCTCAATTTTAGTCTCTTTATCTTCTGCACCTAATTATAAAACATCATTTATATTAAAAATTAATTAGAAATACATCATTGATTTATCATAATATATAAAATCTTGATATATCATTGAAATTATTTAAATGAAATATTATAATAAAAAAATAATGGATTAACTAACCTTCACATTCGTCAAATATAATTTGACGACTTTGGAAAACAGAAGATCGTCGTTTACAAATAGATTTTTTATATTCCAAATCCTTTTCTACATGCGAAGCATCTAATGAATAAATATTATCCATTTTAATTCTTATATAAAAACAGATTTTACACGCAAGATATCAATCAATTTTGAATGAACCAATCACGATACAATATTATGTTTGCTTTGCTTTTGCCATGCAAAAAAATAAAATTCTTATTTAATATTTATTATTTCATTTTTAATGTATTCTAATATTTTATATGATATTTTTATGTGTGACGTGACAATTAACAATTATAAAAAAAATGTATGATATATTAAAATTACAATATTTCAAATGTTTTTCATTAAAAAATGAAAAATTTGATAATCAATTACAATGTTTTAATATTAAAAGATTAATTTTCTTTCTATTTTAAAATACAATGGAAGCAAACTTTTATTTTTCTTTGAAAATTTGATTCAGCATACATGTATTATACTGATTAAAAATTTAATAATAACATGAAATTTTAATAAATATTTTAATAAAAATTTTTAATTTCGAAACAAAATTGCAAAAACATTTCACAATATTTTATGTTAACAATGTATATTTTTTTTTAAATACTATAATATAGATAATTCCAAGTAAAAAGATTTCTATTCTACATTTTACAGGTTTTTGAAGTTTCCAGAGATTTCTATCGTTCGTGCGTTCGTGCAACTGAGCGGTTTGTAAAACGTTTGCAGTTGATTCTCAATCGTCAAGTCGATTAAGTGAATTATATGACACAAAAATCTCAAATTTTGTGATTTCAACATTATAATCGAAAATATAATCAAGTGCTAAACTTTTTTTCTTACTAATAAACGTATTGAAATTTTATTTGTGGTTATTTTAAAAGAAACAATGTCGAAAAAAGCTGACGAGGTAAGTAAAAAAATGTTTTTATTTTTTACATTACTTCTATTATTATAATAATAGAAGGACATAACATTTTTGTACAAGGAGATAATTGTTGTGTGTGTGATTATAAAAAATAAAATATATTTCGAAATATTGAATTATACATAATCACTAAATTACTTAAAATATATATTGTGATAAAAATAAAATATTAGATTTTTTTATAATTATTTAATAATTATAATAATTATAATAATATATTATATTATATTATAATATATTATAATATAATATTATATATAAAATAATATAAATATATTATAATATATAATTATAATAATAAATTATATATAATAAAATTACATAAAGAAATTTCATTAAAGGAATAATCTAGAAACAACATATACACATACATAATTTGTTTTACAGTTAAAATTGGATATTGAAGAATTTAATAATTTACTTCAACAAGCAAGTCGTCAGAGAAGTAAAGATATTCTTAATCTTGAAATTAGAAAATTACAAACAGAGTTAGCAAGATTAATTGAAGAAAATAAAATATCTCAAACAATATCATCTAATGTAGTATCTAATTCCTCTAAAAAATGTTACGAAGTTAAACTTAATAATTATGGTTGGGATCAAACAAATACCACAGTAAAATTGTACATTACATTGAAAGATGTACATCAATTACCTAAAGAAGCTGTGATTTGTAATTTTACTGAAAAATCTTTAGATTTGCATGTTCTTGGATTAGATAATAAAAATTATAGTTTAACAATTAATAATTTATGTGAAGATATTAATACAGATAACAGTACTGTTAAAACTAAAACGGATATGGTGGTTGTGTCTCTTGCCAAAAAAGTTGCTAAGCATTGGTCACATGTAACAGGAATAGAAAAAAGAATCAAGGAATCAAAAACATCTTCAGTTCCAGACATTGGTGAAGATAATGATCCTGGTACTAGTTTGATGAATTTAATGAAGAAGATGTATCAAGAAGGAGATGATGAAATAAAAAAGACAATAGCCAAAGCATGGACAGAAAGTCAGGAGAAAAAAGCTGCTGGATTATCAGATTATTCTTAATTGAATTATGAATTATGAATATATAAGTTTATTATTTTATAAGTTATTAATGTACAAATCAATCTATATGTAAAATATTAAAATATAAAAATGCTTTTATATATAAGTTTGAATACTTATTGATTTTGTAAACAAAATTATGTTTCTAGATCTATTATATAAGTATTTTAAAAATTGTGTATTTTTATTCAAATAAAAATCTTTATTATTTTTAATTATTGAAAATTATTATATTTTCAATAATTATTGTAATATTATAAATTTATGAAGTATTTTTATTTTTTATTAATATACTGTAAATCAATTTTCCAATGTACATTGTTGATTTATCATTACTTATAATAAAAATCATACAAACAAGCTTATATACATAATTATGCCTTTCAAAAATATATAAGTATTACAAATTTAATTCACATATTTAATACAACATGAAGTGCTTATATATTAATATATTCATATGTATATTTTAGTTCATGTATTTTAATCTTATACAAATCTTATTTTAAGATCAAAAATAATGTAGACAACAAAACTAATATTTTATTTTGTAATTTTTTAAACAGACATTTAATTCATTAATTTTTGCATTAATATATGCAATAATATAGATAATAATGAATATATGTTTGTGTTTTTTAAAACAATATGTATATATATTATTGTTAAAATATATCAAATTATGTATATATTTTAATAAATGATATATATATTATAAGTGATAATAATATATTTCGAATAAAATATATTTCGATATATTTCGATATATATGTCACTTATTGAAAATATATCACTTTACATTTTTCGTTAAATATATCTTAAAATATTTAATAAATTGATAGTAAAAAATTAAAATGTCCAAATTAGAATAAAAATTTTTAAAAAGTTTTTAATATTTTAATAAGTTCCGAAAGTTCAATAAATTAAAAATATAATACAATATTTTTTCATATAAAAATTAAAATATAAAATATAAAAAAAATTAATTTTTTCTGCAAACTTATAATTGTAAAATATAGAAAATTTAATCTAGAATATGTAACATGCATGTATGCAAATATAATAATTTAAAAAATATAATAAAATATGCATATTCAAATATATATCGTTAAATAACATATAATAACTCCATTAATATTTATTATATATATCGTATGCAAAAGATTATTATTCTATATTTTTCTTATTTTAGATTATTACTCCATATTTATTTATAATAGTATTATTTAATTTATGATATAAATGAATTATTTTAATGTCGTAAAATATTTATTTTAATACTTTAAAATACTTATTTTGCTTAATACAAACATAAATTTTATTTGTTTTGATGTGGTTAGTTTTTTATATAATAATAGAAAAATATCCAGTCAGTAAATATGATATATATATTTATTTACAAATATTGTATACTAGTGACAAAATTGAGTACAATAGTTTATAACAGTAAACTGTAGCGTTTAAATAGTTTTGAGATATTAAATAAATAATAACATAAATAAATAAATATATGTTTTACTTAAATTAATTTAAAATTTAATTTAATTTAGATAAATGATTATATATAAATGATATGCATTTATTATAAAAATATTCTTCGTATAATTAAAATTTCTAGATTTAGGAATTTGGATAATAATAATTCAATTACAATTAATTCGATTATATATTTCAAATTGATATATATTTATTTAATGGAATTTTATTATACACATAAAATAAAAACTTTTATAAAAAGGAGAAAACATATATTTTTTATAATATATAATTCATTTAGAGGTTATTACTATTGTATTTACAAATATAGCTTCTGACTTAAAATTAAACTTACATTTATTAATATTTTTGACATGCAAATTATAAAACTGTTAAAAGATAAAAATTTTTTTCCTGAATTTATTTGTATTTCAAAATAATATTTTTGCCAATTTTAATACATTTTAATAAGTTTTTATTAATAAAAAATCATAAATCTATAAACAATTCATTGTATAATATTTTAAATTTTGCAAAAATTCAATATAACTTACCATAATAAATATTGATATTAATAAATATTAATAAATTTTGATTATTGATTATATTGATATTACTGATCAATTATGAAAGTAATTAAAAGCTATATAATTACTATTAGTAAATCCAATTTTACATATAATAAATAATATAATTATTATTTATAAGGATTAAAAGTTACATGAATGTGCGAATATTTATGTGCGAGACAGAACATTTTTCATACAATTTTTTTTATAATTACTATTTGTTTTTAGAATAAATCGAATATTGTTTATATTTATTGCTTTCTCTCAAATCTTAAAAAATTAATTTTAAAATTTATCATTATGAGATTTAAAATTCTTTAATGATAATTCATATAAAAACTTTATTAAAAGTGTAAAATATGAATAAATAGTATTACTTATATATTAAATCACGTGCACTACTGCAATGAGTGAAAGCATGACATATATATTTAAAAATGTTTATAAAATACTAAATAAAGTATATTTTATATTATAAAACATACATAGAATTTGAATCTATAATTCGTCCAACGAATTAAGTCAAAAACTGTAAGTACACATAACTACCATATAAGTGAAATAAATTGAATTTACAGTTTTGAAATACTTGTTATGAAATATATTTTTTGAATATTAATGTATTTATTATATTGCAGAATTATTTTTATTGATAATATATAAATATAAATCCATAAAATAGTTTTCAAGATAAAAATTTACAAATATAATTAGTTTTCATGAAAATAGATTTGTCTAGCCTATTTAGCGCTTTCGAAGTGCAATATTTGTTACATGATTTACACATAAATCGTTGAACGAAATACAGATTTTTATTTTTTGAATTTTTTTATCTAATTAAACTATCCAGGTATATAAAATGAAAATTATTGTTCATACTTAAACATTTTCATTTTTAGAAAATGTTTTATTATATTTTTTTAAATAAGAAAAAATTAGTACTTCTATTTTCATATATGTATAAAATTCATAAATTTTATATAAAGATGAATTATGATTTACATGAAAGAAGATTTGATGAAAATAAATAAAAGAAATTGTGAATTAAAATCAGCTTTAACAATAACTAAATGTTTTTAGCACATATTTTCTATACAAAATGGATAAATATTTCATAAAATATTAAAATATTTAAATTTAACAAAGTATTGATAAATAAAATAGAGAATACTAGTTTTTGATTTACAAGCTGAGACTTAATTATGATCAAGATATGAATGAATATAAAATTTATTTATACAATAAAATAACTGCTTTACTTTAGGAAGTAGCAGAAGCATTTGAAAACTGTATTTCACGACTAGTTGTATGAAAAGCTTCCATCATAATGTTTCGTGTTATTTCCATTAAATGTTCAGTATCATCTGTCTTTAATCCTTTTGTAGATATTGGAGGTAATGTTGTTATAATAACACGACCTTAAGATTATTAATTCTTAATTAATATTTGTTATTTGTTTACTAATTTTATTATTTATATGACAAAAACTTACCAGAATCAAATTTCTTTTCTTCAGAAGATAAAAAATAATAAGAGGAAAATACAACTGGTAATATGGGTAATTGAAAACGTATAGCAACATGAAAAGCACCTTTTTTAAATGGATAAATTTTACCAGTATTGCGTCTAGTTCCTTCAGGAAATATCCATAATTTTATCTATATAAAAGATATATAATAGTAAAAAAAAATGAATATTACTATAAATTATTTTTTGGATTTTTGCATCAAATAAATTAAATTACCTTTTTTTCTTTAATATAATTTGCAGCATTATTAATAACTGAATGGGCTTTTTCTGAATTCATTCTATCTATAAATATCATTCCACAAAACCAAGCCGCTAAACCAAATGGCCATGCATATAAAATTTCTTTTTTTCCTACAGCTGTACATTTTCCCATTATTGGCCATATATTGAACATTCCCAATACATCTAAAGAACTTTGATGATTTGCTACTATTATACATGCTCTTTCTTGTTCTAAATGTTCTTTCCCCCTTAATTCCCAATGTACTCCTAAGAATTTAGTAAGCCAAGAACACATAAGTGATCCTAATCTAAAATTATATTTCATATGTTATTTACAATTAATAAAATATTATTAATTAGTATAAATAAAATAAGTTATTATAATAGTGACAAAATTATTGACAAATGGTGGATTATTTTTTAATTTGTATAAGATATGGTATATAATTTTCATAAGTCATTTTAATTATTCTTTTCTATACATTACTAATTATTTGCTATATATTACACATATTGAATAAAGAATAACAATATATATAAAAATTATATATAAAATAAATCATATATTAAAATAAAACTTAAATATAATAACTAAAATATGTACTTAAATAATAATTATATGTTATTTTAATTGAAATATAAATATCTAAATACTAAAAATTACATATGTATGTTTTATATATGTAAGTTTTTTAATTTTTTTTTTTAAATTTTTGTTAGATTTTACATTTAACATTTTTATATAAACACTTTACCTTTTATATATTTTTAATATTTAAATTTGCTTCTCTTTAAAATTATTATATATAATTTAAAAAAATTAATTTTATAATTTATATTATTTTCTAATTTATATGACATTTGTAGGGTGTATTTCAAATAATTATCATCACTGTATCGGAACTGCCGCTCATAGGCTATATCACCACCGTTCAATAAATTTGTCCTACAACATATCGTTTTTAAAAAAAAATTAATCAAAATAAAAATACGAATAATGAAATGGGTAAAATAGAAAAAGAACAAAATAAAACACAAAAATAGTAAAGTAAACAAAGTTTATATTTTCAAAATTAGTATAATTACTAACAGATAGTTTTTTACGTTCCTTGGTCGTAACATCAGAATTGGGAGCAATAAAAATGAATTTATCATCATATATCCACAGTAGAAGGAAATCTTGAAATAATAACGAAAGGTCCTGCTCATTTCGTATAAAAATGGTAAAATAAGGATGAAACCGACAAGGATCACCTCGAAACATGATGGTACCATCTTTTACAGCGAAAAAGGGCGGACACTAATATGTCTTTATATTTCACTACAAAATTAGTATTATGGATTACACTTCTCCACAATCTTATTATTTGATATGACTTTAAATAATGTAAAATATTATAAAAGACATATAAAGACTCTTATTCATTGGTTATTTTATTCAACCATTTGTGATATTCGTTCACGTTATTTTAACTAAGTTATACATTGTTCTCAATACTATACTTTAGTCTCACTGCTTTTTTGAGTTGATTTCTCACTTCTAAATTCACTTTTCACTTCTTAATTATTTATTTTAAAAAAATTTAAATTTTCACGATTCGGTTTTATATAGTTATAGTTTGAAGTTTCCGGTTATAAACTATATGATGTGATATTAACCCCTAGTGAAGATATCAACGATATTCAAGCAACGAAACATTGGAATAAAATTCCTATGTCACTTAACTCCTTATCTCATTAAGTGTAATGTTAACAAAACATTAGTATAAAATTTTTATCTTAGTATATTTACAAAAGTTTTACAACAATACAACAATTTTATTTACTATAAATTAAAAAAAATAATTTATATATTATCTATAATATATATTTTATAGTGTTATATCTTATTATCTTACTTATTAAAAATATATCTTTAGTTTAGTTATTTCTAAACATTTTAAATATATACATTATTATTATTTTAAACATTTTAATATACATATATATTATTATTCATATATCTTTATATGTATTTTATTTTTATTAATTAAAAATGAAAAAATTAAAAATTAATTAAACAAATTAATTAATTTAACACATGTATAAGTACATTGTGCAGCAAAATGATAGGACACAATCTAAATTTTTAATATTACTTAAAACACTATCTATAATTATTTTTATATTGCTATACAAAATACATATATATATTTTTTTTTTAATACTCGAGAAATTGACTATTTTTCATATTGTTTTTCAATAATAATTATCTTCGTTTATATTAAAAAATTGATACGAAAATATTATTATGTAATATTTATATAACATGTAATATTTAAATCTATTTGATAAATTTTATATATATATGTAAATTTAGAAAAAAATAGAAAAATTTATAAATATTTAAAAAAAAAACTTAAAAGAAAATCAAAATTTTATTAAAAATTATTTTAAAAAATATACATCGATTATTGAATAATATTCGCTTGAGAAAATATAAGATAAAAGAAAAAAAAATGATATTTTCAAATAAAAAAGATTTATATTTTAATTATAGCTAATTATATTTTTTTTTATTATTAGAGAAAATCAGATATAATTAATCAACAAATAGATAAGAGAATTGTGGTTGAGAAATAATTAAATTATAAAGAAAAAACTAATATATTTGGTTATTAATATAAATATGAAAAGTATAAATCACAAAAAACTTATAAATGAAAAAATGCAAATATAAAATGAATAAAAATTCATATTTTAACAGAATAATATAATTTTGTATATCGCCAAAAATATAAAAATTATTTTTATAAATTTTATTAGATTTAAATTATTATTAAATTATTAAAAACTTATAAAAAAGAATTAATTTATTTATTAATAATTAAATTATTAAAAACTTATAAAAAAGAATTAATTAAATATATTATAAATAACAAAAAATAATTTCAATTTTTTTTCAAAAATAACTAAAAGATTCAGAATAGTTAATTAGAAATAATTTAAAAAAAAAATTTTTTTTAATCATTTATATAAGATTTATTTTTAGAAAGATATTACAAATTATAAAAAGAGAAAGAAAGTTAATTTCTATTAGCAAAATTAAAATAAAACTTTTTATGTTAAACATTTTTAATTTTTTTTTCATTTCCTATTATTAAGTTCTTTTATTTCGTTGTTCATATAAATAAATTATTACATAGTGTTATTTATAAAAATTATTATATAATTTTTATTAATTATTGTATATTATTAAAAAAATAATACTTTTTAATAACTATATATGTATATATAACTATATAATGTAACTATATATATATATATAAAACATACAATATTTCTATACACATTATTAGTTTTAACAAAAATTGAAATCTAGAGATGTTTATATTTCTCCTATTATTTTAGACTAAATAAACAAACTTCTACGTATGAGGTCGTAACAATCTACAAAATATTATATATGAAATTTTCTTTTAATTAGTCCTCTTAGTTTTATTTTTTACTTAATATTAATAAAATATCAATTTTTTATTTTAATAGAATAAAATTATATGATTTGTATAATGATAATATTGATTAATAATATCGATGATACTTAAATAATTTTATATTTAAATATTCAATTAAAAGTATTAAGACATATTCAAATTTTAAATATTATGTATTAATTTTCTATACTAATATTTCTTGTATGAAATCAATAATATTTAAAATATTTTATTATAATATAATTCAAATTTTTCCAAATCTATATAAAATCATATATAATTTGATAAGAAAAGACACAATTGCTGATTGGCTATAATATAGTATATTTTTTTTCGACATGTATTTAATATTTGTGTTGTTATATATTATGTGGTTATATATTAATTTTAATGTAAATATTAAATTATAAATTTTAATAGTTAAAATGTTTTTTTAAATACATCATTGTAACTTCTTTAATATATAACTTTATACTTTTAAAAATTCGATTATAATATTATTGTAAATATTTTGATAGTTTGCGCGGCAAATAGAGAGATATAAGGTTTTGAATTGTACTGACTATTGTCTGTTTTATAGGTAGGTTAGTTTTTCGAGTACTTAGTAGCATGGTGTTTGGCTTCTTCGTGAATTTAAAAAGCTTTTGGTATGATTTAAATCTGAATTAAATTATAGTAAAAAATTCAATATTTAATATAAATAATTTAAAAAATTGTTATCTCCTTAGGCAAATACTATAATTAAAAATAAATTAATAAATTATCTAATAATTTACAATTTTTATAATTGTTTACAATTTTTGTGAGTTTGATTTTAAAAATTATTTTAATATTCATATAATTTTTTGTACATTAAAATATAAAAAATATAAAAAATTATTCAACTTATTTACAGAGTGGAATATTTATAGGTGAGTGGTTGATAGAAATCAAAGATTATTTAATTAAATTAAATATTTTAAAATGCAAGTAAATTCACAAAAACGTGAAAATACTCAAACTACAATATTAGCATTATTACTTACACATAAAGGAGGATGTACTCTAAGGCAGTTAAATAATGATTATTATGAAACAGAAGGTGAACATATACCATGGAAAGAACTTGGATATAGTTCTTTGTTAGCTTTTCTATATAGTATGTCAAAAACAGTTCAAATAGAAAATAAAAATAATACATTTATTATACAAGGAATTGCTTCTGAAAAATCCAAACATGTTAGTAAATTAGTAGCTGGTCAAAAATGCCAGAAACCATTTTTTGGAAGAAAATTTTATAAACCAAATCATTATTTTCCTACAACTGCTCCTCCTCGAATTCGTATACCAGCTGAGATATTAAGTAGAATAATCAGTTTAGTTAATGATCATCCAGATGGCGTAAATAAATACTATGTCCTTCAAGAAATTCATTTGTGCATGCCTTTTGCAAACATTACTATGAAAGACATGGAGGAGCAATTACAGGAATTATCACATACGATTTTTCAAACAAGTACTAAAATTTATCCAATACATGCTAAAATTAAAGGATTTAATCATTTAAAAAATTGTAATAATATGGCTTCTAATTCTAAATCTATATCTCAAAATGGAGAAAAATATAAATCATTATCTGTAACTGTTGCTGGAGATGAAGATTCAAATGGTATATTAAATTATGATGAAGAAGATATTTTAGAGTTTTCACATTCTGATTCTTTTTATTCAAAATCAATTAAAAGCAAATCTACATCAAGCTTTATAAAAGAAACTGTATTTAAATATCAAGATCAAGAGACAGAATGTCTCCAGAATGAAACTCCAAAAACTCAATATAATAATGATACTCAAATTCAGATGAAATTGAATAATAGTATAGAAAAGGATGAAGAAAATGTTTTAGATAAGAAAAATGTTGAAATACTTATAAATGAAAGAATCAAATTTCGTTTGGAAAAACTTATACAAAATCATCAGGATGGAATTTGGTGTGCTGATTTACCAAAGAAATATCTAGAAGAATATAAAGTATCTTTGAATTATGAAGAATTAGGTTTTAATAGTGTTAGAGAATTTGCATCACAGTTACCTGATATCTTTCATTGTATTCAGCCTCATAATGCAGGAGATTTTATGCTCTATTATGCAAAAAGAGAAATACCTTCAAATAAAATAAAAGAGAATGATAAAATTAATAATATTACAGATTGGTATAACATTTATGAAACAATTGATGAAGAAGCACTTCCAGCAGAAGTGGTAAAGATTTTTATTTAAATTATATAAAGATTTTATTAATTATTGATTAAAATTTAATAATATTAATTTGATAATATTAAATTTTTAGTCACCTGATACATGTAAAATATTAATACCAGATAATGTAATGAGTATTGGAGAATATGTAGGTTACATAAATGTTGCAGATTTAGCACAAAATGAGGAACCTTTCATAGAAGTTTTTGTTGTAGAAGTATTTACACCCTCATTCTTTTGGATACAACTTCGTAAAAAACAAAAAATATTTATAAAGTTTATGGATGATTTACAGTATGTATGATTAAAATAAACAATTCTATATATTATTATAATTATATTATAATTCATTATTCATATATATTAATAAACTATAATTGTATTATAATTCATAATATCTATATTAATAATTGTTTTTTTGCAGTAAATTTTATACAATGAATCATGAGCAATATGTGATTCCACTAGTTGTACTAGAAAGAGGTTTAAATTGTGCATGTATATATAATGGGTTATGGCATAGAGGTATAATCAAAAGTGTAAAACCAGATTTACAAGTCACTGTAAGTATATATATAAAACTGATTGAGATTGTAAAACTGTATGTAATAATAGTTGATAACAATTTATTATAGGTAATGTTTTACGACTATGGAACATTAAAAACATATTCTCCAGGAGCAGTATATTACTTGCATAGAATGTTTTCCAATTTACCAGCTCAAGCAATACCATGTGGTTTAATTAATACAAGACCATATAAAGGATCTAAATGGTCTCGTGGTGCTACTTATTATTTTGCAGTAAGAACATCTAAAATACCTTTAGTTGCGACAATTGCATCAGTTAATACAGAGGTAAGAATATTATTAATATAAATATAAAAAATTTAGATGATATTTACTTTAATTATATTTTTATTAATTTTTTTTAAAAACAATTATTAATTTAATCATTCATTAGTAGTTATTTTTTATTTTAGGATAATTCTATGATAATAAGTTTGACTGATACATTGGAAGAAGAAGATGTACATATTAATGATTGGTTAGTTGAACAGAACTTAGCAGAACATGGAAAAATGGTTTGTATGAAAAAACGAAATTTTCCATTTCAATATTATTTAGAATGTCAAAAACGTCTTAAGCAATATAAATTTAGTAATCGCGAAATGGAAACAAATTCTGAAAATAAAACACTATTATATAATTTAAATTTTGATGTGAGTTTATCTCATAATAATAGTTCTAAAAAAATAAATAACAATAAAGAAAATTTATATAATGAATTAATATTATATAAAGAAAAAGCCAAGAAATCGCAATCTCTTGAATATAATCACTCTTGCAAAAATGATTTTTCAAACGAAAAAATGAATAGCTTTACAATAAATTCTGAGAAAAAAAATACAAAAAAAATAGAATCTTTGTATGAATTATTAAATCTTAAAATAAAATCTACTCATTCTAAAATTAATAATAATAATCATACAAGTAAAATTAATGAAAAAGGAATAAAAAATATTTAGAATCTAGTTTTATATTAAATAATCCTATTGTAAAAAAATTGTACGAAAAGTCTGATAGTACTAAATCTAATATTTCATCAGTTGTTAAAAATATAAAAAATGATATCTCAGATACTGATACTTTATCTCTATCTGTTAAAACCAAAGAAAATAGTGATATGTCAGCTACTGATACTTCATTGATTACTCTATCTGCTAAAAAAGCAAAAAATGATGATGTATCAGATACTGATACTTCATCACTTGCTTTATCTCCTACAAATAGAAAAAATAATGATGTGATAATAGATAAGAAATACGATATTTTACAAAAACATAACAATATTCCAAAACAATATGCTTATCATTTTGATGTACATACTTCAGAAGATGAATTAGATTTTAATGATATCAGAAAGTCTATTGGTATATGCAACGAAGTATATAAAACAGAAGATACAGATTGGTCTGTTATTGACAAAAAACAAGAAAAAAAATATTCACAAGAAAATGTATTTAAAGTGAATACACACGAAACATCACATGAAACAAGTTTTAGAAAAAAAAATATACCAATAGCTGAAAATTGTTTTTTAAAAGCAGTATATAATAGTTCTTATTCAACTTTGAATGATAAAGACATACAATGGACATTAGATGGAAATATTAATAAAATGTCAGATGTATCTCCATTAATTATAAAAAATATTGAAAAACGTAAAAAAAATATTCCAAATAATATGACAATTATTATACCTCAGAAAATATTGGAAACGTTAACAGATGAAAAATTCTCTGAAAAATTACCCAATGTACCTAAAAATATAGAAGAAATTCAATCAATTAATTTATCACAGGAAATTGATAATGTTAATAATTTAAAATATACAAATAACAATGATATATTTCATAATACAAATTTTAAAATACATTCAGAAGATTACAAACAGAATGATTATATTTGTATGAAAGCAATTCCTAAAAAAAAATTATTAGAAAAATTATTGTCATTAAAAGATACATCAAGCGATATTTCAAACATAGATTCAGACGATTTAAGCACATCACAAGAATCTATATCATCTGAATATAATAATAATAATGATAATAATAATAATAATAATGATAAATATACCAAAGAAGTATATAAAAATGATATAAATAAAGAAGACACATCAAATGAATCCAGTTCGAAAATTCGCCCTAAATGTCTTCCATATTCTGTTAAAGCAGATATAATAGATTTATATACACAAGAATCATTTAAATCTATAAATAATGATTTAGATTTATATAAGAAAGAATTTTCAGAAACTTCATCAAAAAGTTTATTTGCAAACAATACAGAATTAACAGAATATGTACCATTAGATTCAATATTATCACAACAAACAGAAGAATTCGATTTAATAAAAAAATATAATTCTTCAGAAAAATCATTATTAGATATAGAAATAAAAAAATCAGAACAATTATTAAAAGAAGAATCAATATTAAATGAAGAAATCACACAAACACAAATATCATCAGTAAAAAAATCAACACCAGAATTATTTATGATTAGTAATTTAAATAAGGAAGAAATTCCAATAACTTCATCAAAATCATCCGAATTTGAAAACAATTTAGAATTAGCGGAATATGTGTTATCGGATTCAACATTATCACAACAAATTACATTAATAGAAAAGTCTGATTTAATAAAAAAATATAATTCTGTAGAAAAATCATTAGATATAGAAAAAAAAGAATCAGAAATATTATTAAATGAAAAACTAATATTAAATGAAGAAGTAAAACAAATATCAGTAAAAGAACCAACACCGGAATCATTTATGATTAGTAATTTAGATGAAGAAGAAATTCCAGTAACTTCATCAAAATCACCCGAATTTGTAAACAATTTAGAATTGGAATATATGTCATCGGATTCAACATTATCACAACAAATTACATTAACAAAAGAATCTGATTTAATAAAGAAATATAATTCTGTAAAAAAGTCATTAGATATAGAAAAAAAAGAATCAAAAGAATCATTAAAAGAAAAATCAATATTAAGTGAAGAAATCACACAAATGGAAATGTCATTTGTAAAAGAACTGGCACTACCTGAAATTTCTAACATACCAATTTTAAATGATATTGATATAGATTCTGATGAAGAAGAATGGGATGTTCAAGTATCATATGCTGATGCTTGTAATCTTCTTAAAAAACCATTTAATGAGAATAATCAAAATCAATTTGATCATAAGAATTTAATTCACATCTAAAAATAGAAGAAATAAATGATTCTGACTCAATTGAAGATACAAGTAATATAAAAATATATGAAGATGCAAAAACTAATCATGAAGTTATGTATTCAGATAATCAAAACTCAAATAAAATTACTGATATTCAAATTTATGAAGATGCAGAAAGTGATACTCATGAAATTATATATGCTACAGATAAAATAGCTAATCAAAACAAAACAGAAAATGTAATGAATCAATGTATAAAATATGAAAATCAGATGCCTATAATAGATTCTGAAATGACTTCAGAATTAAATAATAAATATACATTTAATTTAAATAATACTATATCATACAAATTACAAGGTAAAGCAAAAACATTAGTGGAAATGTTAAATAAAGCAAAATTAATGCAAAAAGATTGTTGAGAAATAAATATTGAATAATACAAATTTTTAAATTTTAATTAAAATATTTTTATTTGTAATTATCTAATATTACTCTGGATTTTTTGTAAAAAACTTTATTTTATTACTCAAATCAAAAATTAATTAGGAAATTATATGAAAAAGTATTTTTTTCGAACTCGCTTGATTGAAATTTTGTTTAGTGATGAAATAAAATTTTTACAAAAAAATTCTGCAGTGATATTGAAAAAAGAAATGCACAAATTAAAAAAAATTGTTAAACAAAATATTTATTCATACTTACAGAATAAGTTGAGTTTTCTAATTTTTTAAATTTAAACTACTTTTTACTTTTGTTTTGATTTTTTTTTTTTTATAATTTGTGTATAATTAAATATATGATATAATCTATAATCACTTATGGTTTTTAGTTCAGTTAATAGGAGCTTATGTTTATATGAAAGAATTCCATTAGACATTTATTCTAAAATATTTTAAATAATAATAGTCTAATACTTAATGATTGTAAAATATTATTATTGTACATTATTGTTATAGTAGAAAATTAATAATAAAATTTGTTAATTAGCTACGATTAGAATCATATCTAATCATTAGGTATATTTTCAAGAAAAATTCGAATATCAATTTATTTTCATAAATGAGCGCACACATATTAATTAATTAATTAAGGAAAAATTAGTGTAGCGCGATCATAAATTTATTAAAATTACATATTTTAGATGTTGAAACATATCATTTATATGATATATTTTTAGATTAATAAAAAGTCTGACCTTTGTTTAAAAATAAAATTTGAGAATATATCTTTTTATTTCCGTCAAAAATATGCATTTTAATTTTATAACAATTATTAAATGAATTATAATTTAAAAAATTAACCAAATTTCAAAATCAATTCACAAATAATTTTTACAGCTTAAGATTTACAATACTTTTATAAACTTGTCTTATAGTTCTATGCATGATTATATTAATAACTTATGATTGTTATTAATTTATGATATTCATTATGATTGCATTTATCTTTCCATTTACTATACATTTATTTACTGTAATTATTTAATTACAGTATTGTATTTATACAATTTAGTAGATTTAACAGATTCTTTTTTATGTTTTTTGGGAAAAATACGACCTTTATGTTATAGAAAATCTTGTATTATTTTTGTTGCAATAAAAATATTTAGATAAAAAATCAACTGTCTATATTTCACTATATACCAATAGTTTTATAATTTCTGTAATAACTCATAAAGTGATAATTTTTCCCAAACTAATTAATTTAAAGAGATATATGTTAAATAATAAATATAAGTGCATGTATTAGAATATTATTTGATATGTTTTTTTACTGTTTTTTAATTAGGTAGATAAAGTTGATATGAGTAATTTATTGCTTTATGTGGAGGAAAATTTAATATTATCACCGGAACAATTTTATGAAGAAGAAACTAATACATCTAATGATAATGAAAATTTATCTGATAATGCCATTAATATGCCCTTGATATCACCACAAAGTACTTTAAATGATGAGCTTTTTAAGCCTTCATCAGACTGTATATCACTTGATGAACAAAAAAAGTTACTAATAGAAGAAGACATTCAAGATCATACTTTTAAAAATAATTCAACATCTAATATATCTACTTTTAATAAGAATAATACTAATCCGTTTATACAAGATGAATCTCTTTATGATCAACTTAATGATGATATAAGTCCTCAAAAATTTATGCAGTTATGGCAAGAAAACATGCAAATACAAATGCAAATAAGTTCAACACTTAATATACTTCTTAATAAAGTAATAGATTCTACAAAAAATGTAAATGATAATTTAATGAATAATGAAAGTACTTTAAATATAATAAAAAATGCACTTTTACATACTAATAAAAGAATGCCAATATTTACAGATTCCTCAAGTACAAATATTACAAATACACAAAAAAATATATTTTTTTCAAATGAAAATATTAATAGAGAAAAAAATACTGCTATAAATCAGCAATCATCTTATACTGATTATTTTCAAAATTCTAATATTCAAAATTGTAATTTTTTAATGTCTACAAATAATGTTTTTGATACAATAAATCAATCTTTATCAAACCAAGATATATCAAATGTTCCTCTAGGATTTGAAAAATATAATTGCAAATCTTTTGCAAATGATATTAATTCTGATTTAATATCTATGGAAGATTCAATAAATGATAAAACATCTTTGAAAGAAACAAATCCTTTTAGACTTAGTTTAGCAGGTAAATTACAAATACTTGATACGCAAGAAGAAAATTCTTCATGTTCTAATGAAGATGAATTATTACATGTGTTACATAAAAATCGCGACGCGATTGTTATCAAAGAACATGATTTGATAAATTGTGAGAATGATAATTCCAAGATTAATTATACAAATCAACTTAATCATAATGATTCATTTGCATTAAATGTAGATGAAGTTATAAATACAACGTCCAAAATTACTATTGATGATGAAGTTACACAACATAGTATTTGTAATAAAGAAATGGAAAAATCATTTATATTAAATACAAAATCTTTTAATTGGAATATAGATGAAGTTATTAATACAACATCCAAAATTACTACTGACAATCAAGTTACACAACATAGCATTCGTAATAAAGAAATGGAAAAATCATTTACATTAAATGCAAAATCTTTAAATGTAGATGAAGTTATTAATACAACATCTAAAATTACTACTGATGATCAAGCTGTACAGCATAATATTCGTAATAAAGAAATGGAGAAACATTGTTTTTCACCATCAAAGAAAACTCTTATTGATAGTAATTTACAATATGTTGAAAATGCATACAAATATGAGCCAATTACAATTGATACTTCTAATTTTAATCAATCTTTATGGAAAAAACATACTGAATTTGTTGTATCAGGAGAAATTCCCAATTGTAAAACTATTAATGAAAATATTACATTTTTTCCAAATTATGATTCAAGTAATTATATATCTTCAACTTTATTACATGAGCATAGTTCAGAATATTCTACGTTAGCAAATACGAATATTAATGGAAAACATTTAACACATACATCTACTTCTCATACATTATATAGTTCATCTCCAATAATAGAACTTAATGAAGTGCAATATAATCAAAAATCAATAGTAAATTCAAATAAAATAAATAATATATCTACCAAAATATTATGTAAACCACTTAAAGATACTCAATTAAAAAATTGCAATAAAATTTATTCTATTTCTGAAAATAATGATGAAAAAGGAATATGTAATAAGATTCAACAGGAAAATAATTATGAAAATATCTTAAATTTTGAAGTTAATGCTAATGCTATGGAAATGAAAAATTCATATTCAAAAAAAACTGAATTAAATACTATTGAAAATGCCACATATATTCCAGAATATTTATCTCTGAATCATAAAATATTATTTCAAGTAGTTGGTATGTTTTACTATACAAATTAATTAATTAGTTATATTTTTTATATTCTTCTTTAATCAATAGATATAATTTTTTTATAATTTTTCTAGCATTACCTAAACAAATAGTGCATATATTTCATTATCAAGAAGAAGGATATTTATTAGTAGATGAGTTTATTGAAATATTTAATGAAACAGAAAAAATTTTAGATATGATAAACTTATTACATACATTCAATATACGTGTACAATTTAAAGAAATTGATAGAACTAAAAATTCTCTACAATTCATAAAAACTAGCAGGTAATTATTACAAATATTTTATTAAAATTAATACTTTTTGATAAATATAAAATTATAATTCTTTTAGCACAATGTCAAAAGCAACATATGATATAGTAAATGGTACTAATAAACTATATTTAATGTCTTTGAAATTAGCTCTAAAAATATTACATAAATTGGAAATTATTTCACAAAAAGATATTGCTGATATCTTTATAAATGAAATATTTTTAAATGATTCAAATGTACATAAAATTTGGGTAAATATTATATATTATTATTATTATATTATAATACATTATATATATATATATTATATATAATTTTTTTTTTAGTTAATTACCAATGCATATAGACTATTTAAATATAATATTGAAATGGGCAATAATTAATTAAAATGCTATATATATTTTAAATAATATGTAACTATAATATGTATATTAGGTATTAATCTAATTTTTATAATACTTATATTTACATATTTTGTTACTTATAGAAGTTATAAGATGAATAATTTAAGAAAAATAACAATATATTTTTTCAACATATGATTTATATGTAATTATATTGTATATGAAGATTAAGTCATTGATATGCAGTAAAATTCATTTATTTAAATTCATTGGAGGACAATAGAGATCATATAATAGTTTATAAACTATCTATGTATCTAACTATTTTTCGTCCTTAAGAATAGAAATTTATGTTTAAATATGGATTTAATTGGTAAGATTTTATTTAATCAAGTATTAAATAAAATTTCATTCCAATAAAGTTCTATTGTATTTTACAATTATATATAAATCAAAAATTTCATTATAATTATTTTTTATCATGAAACAAACAAGTATAAAAATTATTTAGATATTGAAATATAAATGACAAATTTTATGCATGTTAAATATTTGCATCTTTTTTTTTCCTTTAAATATCCATTCCTTTTTAAATATTTGATGAAGATATTTAACATTATTAATTAAGTTCAATTTTAATATTAATTTAAATTCAAATAGTTAAAGAACGTAGCTAATTATAAAACATTTGAAAATTTTTGAAATAAGAATTATTAATACGATTCTTTTATACCGCCAAGTATCATATGCACCCTCTAGTGATGGTTTTTAGACTTAAGTAAAAAAGCGTAAGGAAGAACTTGCATTGATTCGAATTATATCAAAGTGATAAGTGATATTTTACTTTGAATTTTATATTATATACATTTTTATTAAAATAGATTTTTTTATTAAAATATAATGGCAAGTTCAACTGATCCAGAGCCAAAAATAACCGGATTTGCAAAATATTATAATAGTAGTACTACACAAGGTCGAGCAAATGTAAGTAACCTCAAAACTTACGTTTTACCGTGTGATTTTCTAAAAACTTTAAAAGTTATATTTAAATCTTAATTTCATTATTTTTTTTTTTACAGGTAGCTTTAACAACTATTGGTGGATTAGTTGCTTTAGGTTTATATTTATACTTTAAACCAAAAAAAAGTAAGCAAGTATCTGAAAAGTGATTTCAACATTAAATGGTATAGACACATTATGTAATAATAATTTTTGTGTTATATTACTTTTATTAGGAATAAAAAATTATTCATTATTCATGGATTAATAATGATTGACTATTCATGATTAATAATGCCCTATTGTATATTTTTATTTTTTCATGCTAAATAGTAATGAAAAAATATATTGTAATTTAATATGTTCTTGAATATTTGAAATTTTATGTATAAATTAAATAAATATGTAAATATAAAGATTAATTTCATTATATATCTCTATTATTTTTATAAACTTCTTTTTGAAAATTTATAATATATAATCAATATAGAGTATTATTAAAATATAATATAAAAAATATATTAAATTAGTGAAAACTAATTAGAACATCTATATAGATATCTGTATAGATATAAATCATGATATAGATATACATCATAAGAAACGTATACATCATAAATAAAATAAATAAATTCATTAGAGAAAAAACCATATGATTATAGAATTTATGGTTATTTTTATTATCTATATGTACATATATACATATATACTATTTTCATACATATATATGAAATCACAAGAATTTTGAATTTAATTATTTATTAATTGAAATTTTGGGATTAAAATACAACATATATATTTATATGATTTATATTAATTTTTATCATATAAATTTTATCATATAACTATGAGAGCGTTTTTTTTTCCCTCTATTTGATCCTATATTTTTGATCTTGTATTGATATTTTAAAAATAATACAATTTCATTATTTCATAATAATTTTATGTTTTCAATTTAAATCAATCGAAATACATAAAAAAAATTATCATCAAATCAATTATATTTATTTTTATTTAATATATATTGAAAATTAAACTTAATTTATTTACTATATTTATACGTTATTTATAACATTTTGTATTAACTATAAAAATTTATGTTTGTAAGTTACAAGGATTGGAACGAAATATATATTTAATATTTAATATGTTTCCCTCAATATGTTAAATATATTTAACAAAATTATACGAAATTTATAGAAGAATTTATTTCGAAAGAATGTAAAAGAATCTAAAAGATTTACTTATAATAAATGATTTCAGGTACATATTTGAATTATATTCTAAACTACTAAGGCGTAGATTTTTATAAAAAATATTTTTTAAAATAAAAATCTATTGAAACATATATATATACATTTTTATTTTATATTTTGAATAAAGAATATCAACGAAGAAGAATGTATAGAATATATTTATTTTATATAAAGATAAGACATATCTTATAATGATAAACATAAATATCACTTATTATTTAATTTTGTATAATTTTGATAGTATAATATACCTTAGTATTTTAGAGTAATTTATAATAAGCGAATTATAATAAATATAATATTTTTCTGTGATTAATATTTCGAATAGACACAGACAACTCGCGCACATATATAAATATTTTATTATAAATAATATTTGAAACATTCGAATTCATTTTATACGATTTAAATATTTACTTATCTTTTTATTTATTGTTTTTCAATATAAAAACAATTAACATTTATTTAAATTGAATTTGAATATTTATTTACAATATTATTTTTAATCATTCCAAAATGAATAAACAAATTTTGCATAATATTTATGTTCAAATTTTATTAAAAAATTATAATTCCAATATTTTAATATTTTTTTGATCATTTATTTTTTCACAAATTTTTTTTAAAAAGATAATTATTAGAAATATATTTCGTTCTTCATATATGAAGTATATATGAATGAAAAATTTCATTAAGATTTTATCACCAAATATCAAAATAATATAGTTTATGAATATATTTACAATTTTCTAAAATCTTTGTGCATTTTAATGAAAAAGGAAAAAATATTTTTTTTTTACACAAAGATTATATTGTCTATTTATATTAAATAATTTTATTTTTACATATGTTTTAGTTAATAGATACATAAACACACTAATTAATATTAAGTTTATTATCACAATATTTTTTTTCTAAATATTTTTTGATATCGACAATTATATCTTTTAAACTTTATTTTCATTTTAAATATATTTATTATGCTTTTAAACATAATAATTTTACATATTATAATTTCATTTATTTTGATGATCAGATGTTTCTTATACAATATATACATTATGAAGCAATTTTATGAATATAATAAAATATATCGCAATGTTAATAATTCCAACAAAAATTTAATCAAATCAAATCATTAATCAATTAATAAATTTAATTTTAAGATATTTCTAGTTTTTATTAAGTTAATAGGATTATTATTAGATTTAATGGCATATAAAAATAATTTAAAATTATTCGATGATTTTATTTGAATATCAATATTTATCGATGATAAAGATAAATATCTATACTTTCAAACTTAATCGAATGTATTCGATTCAAATGGTTTTCATTTGTAAAAAATTTCCTCATTTTGTCTAATAAAGAAGTATTCGTTGTTGTTGATTAATAACTGGTCGACTTATTGGAATTAAATTATTTGAAATTTTTTTATAGCGTAGAATCTATATCTTTTTTACTCCATCCATTTTGCGCACTTGATGTTCTGGACATCTGACTAGGACTTCTTGCAGGATAATAAATACAAGGTCCTGGACTGGCAGGTCTTCCCGACATTTTGACACTCTGTCGTGTACTACCATTTGAGATATTATTATTTCTATTGATAGTACTCGATCTGTTAAGATGATGTCTGATAGAGTTTTTTAATTCTATATTGGTCATATTAGTAACGATTGATTCGTCATAATGGAATTCTGGACTATCTCTTCCAGGCCCGAATAGTTTTGAACTGCAAAACAACTTTAGAAATATCCTCTTGAATTTTCTACCGAAGATCACGTAGATAATGAAATTGATACTACTATTAATTGTTACAAGAAGATTGCCTGTCTGTACCAGCCAAAGTGGCGGATCGTTGAGGAAAGTCTCGTGAATATTTGAGGCGAGCGGTAGGATGTTGCAAATTAGAAAAACGATCACCACACAAAGTAACATCGTTGCCAATCCAATTTCGCGTCTCTGATGTCGTGAAAGCTGTTGCAAATCTCTATTCGCTTTTCTCACCTGAAAAATGATATTATAATTTTATTATTAGTATTTAAAATTTTTTATCAACATCTTTAATTAATTTTTTAATATAATAAATCTTTAACTTTATTTGAATTGAAATAAACATAAAAACTAAATTATAGAAAAAAATTTACTTTTCTGTAATTATACGAATTGTGAAAAATATAAATGAATATTTTTTATTGTGGAATACATTTATCGAAACAAATATAATAGAAATATAAATAACAATTAAAAAAATATAAAAGAAAAAATAAATTAAAAAATAATTAAAGTTTATTTTAAATGTAGTAATGATTGAATATTTTTACTTTTTTAGATTGTTGCATGATCTATATTATTTTAATGAATGTAATAAACTTGCGAAAAATATGCAAGCTTTAAGTAGAATCAAATAGCGTAATAGCTTTGTTATCACTTTTGTTCTTTTTCAGTTCTCTTTCTCTTTACTAATTTACAATACAAAAAGGAGCATGCATTAAGAATAATCTAAATCTTATGTATTCAAACTATTATTTTTATTTGATTTTTATAATGTTTTTTTTTTCTTAGTTTTAAATGGTAAAAAATACAAGTAAAGTTATCTTTCAATCTTATTTATTTCTCTATTTTATTGTTATCAATTTTAATTTTGATTATAAAAATTTTTTTAAAAATATAATAATGATAAATCACAAAAATTTAAAGACATAATACTATCATTTAAACATATGGAAACAGTAAGAAATTTAAAAAAAAAAAAGTAAGATATTAAATTTAAATTAAAATAATAAAATAATATACTATATACTAAAAGATGATGACAAAAGAATATAAATTTCTCATTTATCAAAAAATATATATATTTTTTGATTAGCTAATTAACTAATTTCAAAAATAGATAATATATATAATTAATATAGATGTAGATGTATAATTAATATAAATGTAATATGTAGAAATTTTGTCATTTATTTTATTACTTGTTCTAAAGTTTTGAATCTTCTTCGAATTTACAACATATTTTTCCAAAATCTCAATGAAATGAATTGTTTTTTCATTTTATTTATATTAACGAATAAAAAGAAAAAAAATAGAAATGCAATTTATGATATCAAAAATTTCGAGAAATCATTTTTTGTGATATTATTAAGACAATTTTTTAAGAAATTGTCTTTTTGTAAGAAATTGTACGAAGCTATGTGAAAATTTATTTATTATTATTTATTTTTTTTCTTTTTATTTTTTAATAAAAAAGTTTATTATTTATTTTTTCATTAACAGTTCTTGAAATTATCGTGTTCATATTCATTAAAGAAATGAATGATTCGTACAAATTGCATTGTATATAAGTAATAACTTGTTTTAATAAAAACTTGTTTTAATCGTAATAAAATAAAGCGTATTTGTTTTCGTGAGCTTTTGAATGAATAAATTTTAAAAAAAGAAGAAGACAAATTGGCCATGATAAAAGGTATACTCATAGTTCCACTTTAAAGCATATATTCCAGTTAAATTATTTATGCATTCATAAATTTATTTTTGTCTTTTTTTTCTCTTTGTGATAACATGTTGTAATGATGCATTCATATCATAGTTTCTGCTTTTTACCTGCTACTTGATAATATCTGAATGAAATAATTTAAATAAATCGTGTTGGATTTAAATTTCGTGGTTAAAATGTAATTTTACTTATTTAATAATGTTAATATTTTTATCAAATAGATACAAAATATTATTATATTTCGAACGATTGATTTATCAAATAATAGAATAATAGTTTTTTAAAATTGTTTGTATTCAAATATAATATTCACGAAGAAAATAAAATATACAATATGCCGAATAAAAATCTTAGAGAACTTTGTAATAACAATTAAAAGAATTTTTTTTAAAACATATTGAATTTATATGATTCTATTAATATGAAATTCGGTATCAAAGTTTTGCGCATTTTAGATAATATAAAAAAAAGATTATTTTGCTTACCCTTCGATAAATAGCTACATTGAAGATCACTAAAGCGAGAAAAGGAAAAAGATAACAAATAAAGAAATACATCCAATGGACGTAAAGTGTGACATATAAATTGTTGTTTCTTAAATCAGCTGGATACACGCAATATATAGTAACATTGTATTTCCAGTGAGTTTCTGTGTAGTACTCTACTTCCCAAAATCTATAGAAAAAAGAAAAATTATTTATTATAAGTATATTAACAGAATTATTCAAATTTTGATCTAATGAATGTCAAAATTACTTACTTTGGTAAATTATAAAAAAAAGAAAATATCAAAATAATCGCCACAGCTAATCGAGCTCGTCCATATGTACAAAAAGATCTAGCTTGTAAGGGATGACATACAGCGATATACCTCTCAAGTGTTACAGTCAGAGTCAAATATACCGTTGCTATATGTGCCATACACGATAATGGATATAAGAATCGGACTATCTTCGGGTAGACGATGAACCTATAGTCGAACAGCAGGCCAGTATATGTGTAAATTGCGATTAAGCCATAAATCAATATCTGAAAATGTCATAAGCTTTTTTTCACTTATTTTATTTGTTTCCGCTCATTCTTCAAGTGGAATAATGAACACAATTGAAATTAGAATAAAAAAAAATTCTTTTCAATTAACACTCTTTTTTAAATAATAAAAACATTCCGATTTAATTGTGTATTGTGTAAAAAATTCTATTTATCTTCTATTTATTTCATAAATAGTCATGATTTAAAATTCTACTTTAGCAAACTTTTTAAGCTTTCTCGTATCTAGAACATAATGCCTGCATAAATTTTTAGAAACTTTTCAAGATCAACTGTTAGCAATATTTTTTCGAACATGATTATTTTACTTTTATTTTTAATTAATCTATTAACATATTAATATATTAATTTTTTAAATATTTATTGATATAATATACTTTGATTGATATAATATTACTTACCGAAATGATAATTAACATGGTGTCGCATCTGGCTAGACCAATTAGCAAATAATTAATTGATGATTTCATTTGTGGCCTCGAAAGAATGATCATCGAGATCGTGTTGCCAAATATCCCAAAAATTCCGATCAAATTTATTAATATACCATAAATAATGAAATCGAAGAGACCGCTTGAATTGATTTTTTGTGAACACTCATATGGTTCTATCGTATTCTCTTCAATTGATAAATTTTTCGATAATTGACTAGCATTGTAGTAACTAGGATTCAAGTTCAAAACTTCGAGGTTTATTTCCATCGTTTTCAACTACCTTCGTTTCACTTTTTCGCCCGATTCTTCATTAATATTCTTCGTTTCATTTAGCTTTTATGTCACCATTTTTGATTATTTTTTATCTTTGTTATATTTATACATATATATTCTTTTTATATATCAATTAATTTCTCCTATATTAAAGAAATATTTACTCACATGAATTTATCTTTATTATTTCACTTTTATATCTATGCATAATTCAATTCTGCATTATATGATTTCAATATGCATTAAATTTTTAGAAAAGTTATTTATTATTTTACTTCATTATTTTCACTATCTTTTGATCTTGTAAGAATCGAGAATCAATGGTTTTGGTAACATGATGAACAAGATTTTATCAAAACTTTAAAATGCTATCTTATTTCTTGTTGTTCCTCTATTTTCTTAAATATTATTGAATTTAATTCAATTTGCTTGGTCTTGATGAAAGTTTCGTAAACTTCTTGTATTTGCATCTGTAACGTATCGTAATTTTGCAGCAATCGATAATTCGATTTCCTTTCGGCTTCTATTCTCATAAATCTGTAATCAAAAATTGCGAAGTATGTTAAAATGCAATATCAAAATCACTTTTATTGAATAGAATAAAATATTATCTTATAATTAATAAGTATTTATCTCATCATCATAATATACATGTATGTATACATATATCATGATTACAAAAAGTATTTGTAAATATTATCCTTATTTTTTGATGAAACATTTTTTTGTAAAATTTTAACAGTATCAAATTTTTGTAAACTTATAAAAGTACTATTAAATATAATGTATTCGAATATAATTAATTATAAATATATAAATTTTATGATAATGATGTACAAACATCTTAGTCACTGTATCTATTCACATGTTTTCTAAAGAGAAAAAGAAAAAATTCTAACAAATACCGCCAGAGATCGGGAGTGTCGCATTATGTTTCTGTTCAAAACTCAATACGACGTGTATCGAAAGTTATATTCCGTGTTCTTTATCGCGAAACATTTAAAAACGGCGCGTGAAAAGTTTTCAAGTTTTGTGGTGGATGATCATCAAATTATCAAATTTGTTGACTCTTCTCTAACGTAAAAGAGAAATATTTATACATATACTGCTTAACATATATTCGAATATATGTAGACATTAACTTTGACCTTATTAAGTAAACAGTAGCACAGAGGGAAGGGAGGATATGTATACGCAGATATCCAATACCTGTGATTCAGTGATTTCGTGACTTTGAATGATATTTTAACTAATAATAAATTTTTGATATTAACGGCTCAGTGAAACAAACGAGTTTTAATGAAATATAAAAACGTAATAAGAATGAAAACGAAACTGTATTTTATATCGAGAGTGTTTCAAAGTTTGCTTGCTATTGTATACCAAGAAGGCCGATCGGATTAAGAAGCTGTGACGTTCTACTGAACTGTAAGTTAGAAATCTTAGAAGTTTCTATAAATAATACATGGATAGAATACATCTTTTGAGGCGACTAATCATTATATGTACGATAACATATGATAAATTATTCTCTTCCTATAGAAATGTTAAACAATAAAAATACATATCTTAAATTCATTTCGAAGGTAATGTTATAATGTACTATAGTATATATAAGTTTTATACATAACAAGCATCTCACTATATAACCTAAATTCGATTGAACATTTATGATTGAAATATGCACAAGATTAAATAATTAAAGATAATAATAGAGATTAAGATAAATTATAAAATATCATTAAAATGGAAAATTACTAAAATATGGAATGTTATTAATATAAATATCATAAGAAAATTAATTTCAGAGATATTATGATATTATGAAAACCAAAGATATACTAATTAAATATTAATATAATTTAATATTAATAAACTAATGATTCGAATATATTTATGATTCTTTTGCAATATATCTTCGTACTGTTGTTTCGTAATTTTTATAAATGTTAATTAATTCACTTGAGATTTTATATGTTATATTATTTTAATACTTTTATGCTATTATTATAGTAAGAATAACATTATCTTCGAAATTTATATGTAATATATATATTGTTTAATATTTTAGTGTTAAGTACATATAATTGTATGTTCAAAAGATAGTATAATTGTTTATGGAAAAATTTTAAAAAATTAATGGTTAAGATTACATTTATTGATAAATATTAATTTGTTCGAACGATATAAAGGGCATGATATCGTTGTTAATTTGATCGATCGCCATTACATCATTTCAAGTATCAATTGGCATGTTTCAATCGTTAATTTGTTTTTTCCTAATTTCCATTTTTTCAATTTTGTGCGTCAATATAATTCCAATGTTTTTTGATATATCGATGTTCGATTATTTTCTTCAATCATGAAAATTTGAAAGAGTCAATTTAAATCTTTTTTAGAAAATTTGCATGCAATTTCGTAATAATGGTTGTTTTAAAAAATAAAACAGAGTAAAAATGCTTAGTTAGAAGCAAATAAATGATTTATTTCTGGTTCTGGTTAAAATTAATAAATAAACAAAAGAAATTTATAAAATGAAAATCCACATAAGAAGGAATTTAATTTCTTTTTGCATTTTTTCGAATATGTTTTACAAAAGTTCATTGGCAATATTTAAATCCTTAATTTTGAGGGATATGCCGTTAAATTTTATTCAATTAATAAATTGTCTCAAGTAATATTAATTTATTTTCTTTTTAATAAACTAAAAAATCAATTTGATAGCAATATAGATATCTATTTTAGTTTTAATATTCATTTACTTATCGTTAATAAATTTCGTTATATAATGCGAAAATTAATTTTATTTTACAAATTTATACAAATTTAATTTGAAATTGAAATAAGAAATAATTGTTATAAATAATTTATTTTTTGGACCGTTATTTTGAATGCTATTATTTAGAAATAAATAGTTTTAATATTAGTTTTATATTATTTGAATCATTATAAAGTCTATAGAATTCTTCTAGAATCTAATTTATAACGTTAAGATTTTTTTTCTTTATTTTTGTATTTTTTTTCATTTAAATTTAAAGTGAATGCCAAGTTAATAAAGACTAATATTTCCAACATATTTTTAACGAAGATCATTTAAGAGCTTTTATTTTAAAAACTTAAATATATCGCGAACTATTGAAAATTTTTCCATTGTAAACTATTATTTTGAATTATTTAAAATTATTAAACAAGATTCACAGAAGTGTGAATTTTGAAATGTGAATTTTATGTAGTATGTTGACGAAATATAAATCTACAATTTTTTTAATAAAAAAAATGATCTTCTATAATAATAGTTAGTTATTTAATAAAAATCTAAATTTTATCAATAAATTTTTTTAAATATTTGAATATATTTGATGATAGAATTTGTAAGCTATTTGAAAATTATTATTTGCATTAATGTTACAAGTTTCTTTTTTTTCGATAATAATTTATAATAAATTACTTTGTATTATTAATAAATGATACTTTTTTATAAAAACAATGCCTATGTTTTAATATTATTGAATATTGATATGATATAATATATCAAATCGATAATATTGAACATAGAATTTATTAATAATATTTCATTAATAATTGATTCAATATGATTTCAATATTTTAACTTATATTATATATTTATTTTATGTAAGAACAATAAGATGTATATGATTAAATATAGATAATATATTGGTAAAATAATTTTATTTTAAATTTGATAAATTTAATTAGGAACATAGAACGAAATGTTACAACCTTATCAAAAAGGGATAAAGTTGTACAATAAACATAACCTCGTGAAATATTTCATCATATCGTAGTAAAAAAAATCTATATATAATTTTATCATGGATTTGATATCTCATTTTTGGCAGCGAAAAGATTAATAATAAACTTGTTAACTCACAAATATTGAGAAACGGTATTCTAACCTAAAAAAAACCAAAACCAAATTATTAGAAATTTTAGCTTTCAAGGTAAAGTATTTGTATACATTTTGAAAAATTGTTATTGTGTTGCATTATTGTAATGCAATAAGTTTCTTCAAAGAATAAAAATTATCATCATTTTCTACTAAATATTCTTTAGTCGTAGTCTAGTCTTCGAAGTAGCGAAATAATATCTTTGAAAGGAACGTACGTTCAAAGATATGTTAGAATAAATTATTCGAGAATTATTTCAAGTAAGACCGAGTAAGTACATGGTGCATTAGCAATGTCTCTTTAATCATGATTAAGGCTAACGACTGCATACATTGTTGTCTGAATTAACAGTTTAATGAAAACGACTCGTTGCTACGGCATCTCGCATATAAAAGTGAATAGGGCAGTATTTTGTTGTCCTACATTACTATATCACAATGCTTGTGCTTCATTGCAGTTTCTTGTACTCTGTTGTACGGTATTAAGATTTGTATATAATAGAAAATTTTTAGCAATTTAACTTTTTTTCAAGATTCGTATAGTAAAATTTTATAACGTATCACTTACGGAAGATATATGCCACATATATCTATTTTTATTTACTTATAATTATATATTCATGTGTAAATAAATTTAAACATTAGTTTAAATTAGTTATAAATTTATTAAATAACATTAATTTTAAATTTCTATGAATTCAAAAGTTATTAGGATATCTCATATTCTAATAATTACAGTTTATGAAAAATAGATCGTATCTATTTTTATTTTTAATCATAGTTTATTTAACGTTAAAAAAATTTAAAGAGGTGAAAATTGAATAAATATTCTATCAAGAATAATGCTAATGAAGTTGGAAAACGATATATATTTTCTCTGAATATAATATAATTATCATTATTTGCTCGATTTAGCAATATAATTTTGTTAATTTTTTTCACTAAATAGTAACAGGGAGTTAAATAATTAATTTACGCGTGAAATCATTCAAAAGTGTGGATGCAATAACATGTAATAACGAGATCAATAGTTTCACCCTGGAACCGAGGTCGCTATCATTAATTTAATGAACGAGTTATAATTACTCGGGAAGAGGACTAATAAACTCGTTAAGACATCGTCGACCTTAAATTATCATTTATAAGTTATTTATTACGATTTGTCAGATGAGAAATGCGACAAAGCTCGAGGAAAAGAGTTATGTCTCGTTCATTCGAGTGCTCTTAGCAATTTATTTATATTAACTCTTCACAGTCGAAAGAACGTATTAAATGCACATTAAACGTATGCTAAATAAAAAAAATGTGTCAACCATTAAGAATTAATAATAATTTCGTTACCATATTCCATGAAGATATGCTTTTCTTAGTTAAGTTTAAAGTTGACTCAAAAAACAGTGTCGTCTATGTCATTATCATAAAATTAGCTTTTCAATTTTCTTTACCTTACATGGAAATGAGTTACTTATGTATAGAGGGGCAAGTTATTTGAATATTGAAAAAAGGTTTGTTGTAATTTTAAAAATTAGTTAGAAATTACTGCTACAGAATAAATGTTTATTATAAAATTATTATTTCGGTTCATCATAAAACCAAGCATTATTTTTTCCAATGTTTTTTCGCCAATTTTAATACGTTACTAAATCTTGCAACTTTTAATAATAGTGATTTCTTATAAGACGACTAAAAAATAAATCAATGTTGTAATCGATGTTTTATGATATTTAACAAGTTTTAATTTTATTAAAGTGTAAAGTTGCATTTTTGCACATTATAAGATCGTTATAATTACACAGAGCTTTTTATATCAAATGATTTGTAAAATGCTTGTATTTTTTTTTTTTTAAAGATAGAACAACAAATATGCACTTTTAATATGCGAATAGTAAAATTAGGTATATTTAAATATATTTATAATATTATACATAAATAATATAAAATGGAATATGTAAGAAGAATATATATATATAAAGTGGAGTCGATTTTTTATTGCTTCACATCTCTTAATCATTTCATAAGATCAATTCAATCAAGGAGTAAACATGCGTATAAATACTCCATATGACTTTTCTAGACATAAATCTTTCCTGTTCTAACGTCTATGAAACATGTTTACGTGATCAGAAGAATAATTCATTGATAAAAATCTGTATTTACATCTCGCTTATCAAGTAGCATAATTAAAATCTTGATGTAGTAAAATGGAATAGATTGATAAAAAAATTATTAACCGCTGTGCCATTTGCAAACAACATTTGCATTCCTCTTTCGTTCTGTCATTGTAACACAAATCTATTATAAGAAATGAATATCCCATTATGTAAATAATATTTATAAATGTCAAAATTATTCTCTGGTGATATTTTACAATTTCAACGGATGTTGAACTGCAGAGTTTTTTAAAAATTCATTCTTTTTTTTTTTTTTTTATTCAAGGAGAAGTAAACTATATTATAAATCTGTTATTTCAAGGTTAGTATTCGTTTAAAACGAAATACACTGTGCAAAAATCAAAATATCA